TGTGAGTGTTTTAAATGATGGAATGGATGAGGTACAGCTGTTTTCTTCCTTACAGATAGGGCATTCACATTAGGGTGAAAAAAACTGGGGTACTAGATAGGGAGAGTTGGATGAACACACACACTGATTGATCTACGTCAACTAGATGAGGCCGAGTACTACTCAACCGTCACTTGGGCGTTGGGAATGTGTACTGGGAGGTTACCTTGTGCAGAACAAAACGCGCAAGTAGTTATGTTATAAGCCTACATGGAGGATAAAAATCGCTGGAGCTGCATTCTAGCCCAAGTCCCTTGTGGCACTGATATTGTGCGAAATGTGCAGCGTGCAGGCTGTCTCGAATACCCGTTACGGAGATATTCAACGAAATCTCATATCCACACCACTCTCGTTTGAACGTTCGTGTTCCCGTTCTGGAGTAATTACTTCGGTGAGTCCACACCAAACAAGGGGAAGCACTGGACTCGAGTTTTGCTCCTATTAGAGCTCGTCAGCAGTGCATATCCAATGGCCGTGCCGGAATTTGAACCCCGGACGTCTGACATGCGATGCGAGCGTGTGACCACTACTCCACCAACGCACGCTGGACGCATCTGAATTATTACGTCTGAACAGGCAGACGTGTTCATACTACAGCGATGTGATTGGTGTGTCCGACTCATCGAACGACAACCCAGTAACTGTCCTGGTTGTGGCGATCGATTGACCAGCCAGTCAGGACTTCTCAGTCAGATAGCGTCCCTTTGGTGTGGACTCATCGGAATAATTACGCCAGAACAGGAACACGACCGTTCAAACGAGAGTGGTGTGGCTATCCCGCAAAACCCCAAAATTGCAGCAAAATCTCATTTGTCCTATTGACCAAGAGCGTCTCCAGATCCGGCAACTCCGTCCTTCATATGAGTTCAGAAGCCAACATTCAACCAAATTACTATTCACGTTTGGACTCATTTTCTCAGCTTTCAGAGACTAGGTTTATCTGATGAGCCCCATACATGATGTAACTGGTAGTGGGCTGTTTGCAGCAATGGTTCCGTACCAGTTACACCGAAAGTACGTATTAGAAAAGGTCGTTTGCCAGTGGCTGGCGTGGAGCGGTCTGCAGATATCAACAAATATGAATACACCCACACACAAACTGTTCACATGCGCACTGCACTTAGCAGACTCCTGCGACGTGATCTCTGGGTCTGATAAATACATGGTAAAGCCGAAACACACATAATTTAACTTTTGGAACCATATGTTACCGGTTTTTACTGACAGAACCTACCACTGACTACTTTAATCTATGATTCCCTTCTTTCAGGAGCCAAATCCCGACGATTTATTCCTCGTGTGTTACACAAGCGGAAGTACCGGTAAGTATCGAAAAATGTGTGATACGTGCGTAATATATATTCACTTGGAGAGTGCTAGTAAGCGGAATAAGATAGCGAGTGAACATCCCATATTCCTGAGACATGGTCGTCTGTGGTTGGACACGTGTGTTGCTTTGACTTTGAACATCATAGATAGTTGGAGTTCTATGGAGGAAAATTTCGGTAGCTCAGGTAGCGTGGAGCGTAGAGTCGGCTTGTTCGCTGAGCTGGGCAAACGTTTCATCACCAATCGAGGTGACATCATCAGTGCGCTGTTGGGGAGCGTGGTGTGGTGCATTGGTGGGTTAGTGGTTGCGCACAATGATATATATATACTACCTGCAGTTGAGTGCGCGCAATCTAGAGCAAAACCTACCAGCTGCTGAACGTATTTTATGAAGTGCATGAAGGCGTATTGCATTGAAAACCTGCGGATACTTCCCGAAAGGTAGTACGTGCAAACGCATTCAAACGTGTGGAAAGAGAATAATTATAGGTTTCGCGTAAGACGTCGGAACTTGTTGTGATCAGTTCCCCAGGGGGCTCGCCTTTTCTCGGGAAGTCTATTTTCAGGGGTTTGGTGCATATGAGAGTAAATTATCATGCATCTTTCTAACTCATCACCAAATGAAATCTTGCTATTGAATGTATTTTGTGGTCTTCCAGTAACTCTGATCTGCAAATCACTACTGGCCTTATCCTTCTTCCTCACCATTAGGCCTACCGAAGGGTGTCATGTGCACCCACCAGACCTTCCTCAATGCGATATCTACCTGCACACGGCTGTATGAGATTTCAGTAAGTATATCTGGATTATGTGTTGTATCCCATCTCTGGTGATACGTTTCCTTCAGACAGAATTTGGAAATGTTTCACTCTGTGATTATCAATATGTTTAGTAGCTTTTACGTTTTGACTTACCAGTAGTCAACACCTTGGGTTTGCGCGCATAGGATGGTGAGTACGGGAACATTAACGGATATGTGATCAAAGTAAATTGAGGTAAAATGCACTCTCATTTGCAAACAAATTCGGTTTTGCAAGCAGCTCACCAGGAATGCAGCTGAATCTCAAGTGTATGATGTTCTCAGGCAACTGAATGTGCTGCACCAGGCCGCCTCATGTTTCAGCCGCTGCGATATTCGAGATATCGCGATGCATGTAAAGACGTAATACACTACTCATAAGATTGCTAATCAGGCAGTGGTAGTTCCCGAGATTCTGTCAACTATAGTTCCTGTTTGCATCCGAATTGCACGAAGTTGGCGAAACACATTCACTAGTATACCGATCTGGTTTTAGAAGCATCGTAAACGAGAGATTCAGCAGGTTTCAGGTGAGCCTCTCGCAAAAACAAATTAGTTTGCAATTTGGTTTCAAGTAGAACATAAGGTTGACGGAAACTCGGAGACTGCGCTTACATGATGAGCCCCAAGAAGGGCGAAACCTAGCCGAACTGATTCATGAGACTACCGCACACAGTTTTGGTCACGTGATTTATGTGCACAATGGTGTTGAGTTGGGTCAGATGATCATTTATCAACACTGATACACTTATATTAGAAAATTTGTTAGTGTCCAGTGTGGGGTTGATCATCCTAATCCTTTAAAGGCCATAAACGGATCGTTTGGATGAGTAAGTAGGAAACTACCTCAGAAGACAACGCTCACTTACTAGGAACCAGGAGGATAACGTTTTAGAACATTGGTGTGGATTAGGTAACGTTAGATGACAATAGCAGATTAATTCAAAATATAAGGATCGATCACTGTGAAAACATTACTGGACACTCACACAGGGGGACGGAAATGGGTTTACTCCACCTCCCCGCAGTCTGCAGCGACTTAGCGGAACTTACCCTGTCCTGTCAAGTTCTGGCCTTCGCTGCTGAGTCATCTATTGGAAAGCACCAACTAGAACAGTGACAGACTGTTGGACATGGAAGAAAAACTCTCGTTTGTATCTTGTTCTACAAAAACTGAATATCCGTCTTCTTCTCAAACGCGTTCTTCTGAACTTTCCTGGATACTCATTGACTATCACTCAATTGTAAACGAATGCTACAAAGCGATTCCGCAAATTCCGTAATAAATTTCACTTTTCGATGGACGCGAAACGGATTTATGATTAAACCACTACTCGGATGCCTCATCAGTAGTATCCACCGTTACACTGGTATTTTGGTAACGAATTTAGTGACTACATTGAGTGGGTGGAAGGTTTTTGGAGAACATTTCTATCCTGATTTTTTCCCTGGTTCCCGACTCACCAACTAATTCTTGACAGGTTCTCTGAACCACGAGAATAAGTGCGAGATTTTCAAAACTGATTGACTTAAAATTCAGACCACCCCTACCGCATAAATTGACTTCCTACTCAGATATTTTTGTGCAGATATCCGGGGGGCATTCTTGTAGAGAGAAAATACATGGCTAAACTTAGATGAAATTTACTCTTTCATTAGAGAATCTCACGATATATTTAGCTGCCCTCGTCATAGGCTAAAATCGAATTGAAACATTCCAAGGCCAACAGCGCTTTTGGAATAATCTACTCAGTCGATCACCAGTCATTTGATGGTGCCGTTTTGTCCTAGTATTGAGAAGGGCACTATGTTCTGTTTGAGCTTAAAGAAACAGCATAATTGCCAATTCGCATTAGAAGAGCTACTTCTATCCTGTTCTTCTAGTCTGCTTGGTCTCTACACATTTAGCGTCCAATCGATCTGATCGGGGTTATCATATATGGATAAAACTGAACACTTGATGACCTCAGCTTGCTCGTAGAAAAAACATTTTGTGTAATTAGGGGGAACTAAACATCCGCTGGAACACAGGTGGATACTCAGCAGCTGGACTGTAATATTGGTCTCCGCTTGTAATCCGTTCCCAAAAGTTAACAAATTAGCATTTTATTGATTTTATACGGATTCCCAAGTCATTATTATTCTTAGACTTGTTATTCTAGGGTCAGTTTTTGACCAATTTTTGTGACACTACTGGGGCGGCGGTTTTTTTCAAGCCCATCTGTCCCCCGAGACTTTACCAAGGACATTCGAATAAAACTAACTTGATGGGTGAACTCGACGGTGAGGGGTCATGGCATGGAATTTTGTGACCAAATTGAGAGAATGACGTCTCGGGGAGACTTCGTTTTAATATATTGTACACATATACGTAAAATTCTAAAATCAAAATGGAATAATCTGAAAAGTGAGAAGAGTCCAGATCATGTTACAATCTGAATTTGGCTGGGGAATGTGCCTTTCATACTGATAGATGCACCCAATGAAAGCCGGAAAATTCGTTCCTCAACATCGAGTTAGACAGATGGCTTTGAGGGATTAAGATTGGTTGCAGTTTTGGGGTTTTGCGGGATAGGTATTTTGTTCGTAGTCACACAACTCTCGTTTGAACGGCCGTCGTCCTGTTTTGGCGCAGTTCTTCCGGTGTGCACGATTCATCGAACAACGACCCAGTAACTGTCCTGGTTGTGATGATCGATTGACCCGCCAGTCAGGACTTCCCAGCTAGGTAGCGTGACACACGCTTGAAACCCACTGGGCAAGTTTTTGGTTGTAGTTTTGGGGTTTTGTGGGATAGATATTTTGTTCATAGTCGAGAATCGCTTTCTCTGACATTCACTTCCTTGACTTGAGGATGTAATCCTTCAATGAAAGCCTTTCGTTAGAAGCACCCTTAAAGTGACCCTCCTGCTCGGTTTTTGGCAAACGAACCAATACGAAATCTTGCTCCGAATACTATGTGGCACTCTGAGTTGGACTATAGTGCTCGAGGAAGTTCCCGATTCTCAGTCTACTGCTTGCGTGAGCGTCGCGAAAACCGGTCGGTTATGGTTGTGTGCGTGAAAGTCACTTTAAGTCATCGAAGGGAGTTTTACGGGATAGGTATTTTGTTCATAGATTGGCTCATCTTCATTGTCTTTTCCGGGAGAAAATCTCCACTAACAGAAGTTGCACCAATTCCCGTTAATGGATTCTGCGTAAGATGACTCATTACTAACCACTGAAATGAATGTTTTTGTGCATAATGGTGCTGGCACCGTTGCATAATGCAATGAGTGCATCCAAAGTTACCACCTCATTCGTTCTTTTGAGTCCCACAGGCTGGCTGAGTGAGCAAGTGAATCACCTATGAAATCGAGTAATCTCTATTTTGCTAGTTGATACTGAAAACTTCTCGCACAGAGTCGTTCAGGTGCAAACTGTTCGCCCCGGGCGAACATGGATGAAAAGTTGGGTTTTTCACTTTATTTCGAACAGCTCGAGAATTTCTCCCCTTTGAGACAGTGAAAATTCGAGTAGGCTTTTCTATACAGATTTCGAAAATGATGCCACTCAGAAAATAGTGGGAAGCGAACAAGCGCGCCCTTTTCACTCTTTCACTTAACAGAAATAATGGTTTACGTTGGCCATTCTTTCAACATAACCATGTGTGAACTATGTTAAAGCTTAGGGAATACACACTTATGTGCAAACTAATTTGGTTTTTTGAAAGACTCACCTGGAACCTAGATGCATCTCTCCTTTAAGATGTTCTCAGGAAACTGAATGTGCTGCGCCAGGCCGCCTCATGTTTCAGTCGCTACGATATTCGAGATATCGCGATACAGGTATGTCTTTGTAATGTGTTACTCATAAGGTTGCTGAAAATCCGTCGACAGCCCACGACCGGTTCCGCAATTTTTGGGACCCATCAGCTAGGCGCAGTCCCCGGGGTTCCGTCAAACTTATGTTCTACTTCAAACAAAATAATTGCACCAAATTAGCCAATAGACACTCACTTATTTGCCAACTTATGCATATGAGTGCATATTCGCTAATTTCGTGCAATTCGGTTTCAAGTAGAACATAAGTTTGACGGAAACCCGGGGACTGCGCCTAGCTGATGGGTCCCAAAAATTGCGGAACCGGTCGTGGGCTGTCGACGGATTTTCAGCAACCTTATGAGTAGTACATTACAAAGGTAAATCAAAGCTTAATTTGAGAGCAGCGGTAGCCGAACCAAACTGGAATCTTGCTGATATCAAAATCCCCGACTCGGATTCAAGCTTCAATCTTGCATTGCCTCTGAAAAGGCTGATCACCATGCCACACACATTTTTAGTCTTAGTGCAGCCAGTCATCCGGAACCTGATTATACTTTGAAGTGATTTATTAAGAAGGTTCCACGTTCACCAACATCAATAGTTCATCCGCTTTCAAGGCATATGCGGGCCCGGAAACTTTACCGCAGTTTACCATAGCATTTTGAGCAACGCCTTCATTACAATCACTGAATTCTTTTTTGAACGAAATTGTACCTGATCGAGGCAGATGTATCTTGTCGGCCCGCAAAACTCGCTCAAAGCACTGTGTTCCAGAGCCTTAAGGCGAAATCTCCATCTTCCTGGAAAAATTCCCAGATAGCCGGAAATTGCTGGGTCGTAGTGCGGACTCACGAACTGATTCACAATATTTGTACCGTGATCGGTAGAAAATCCCTATACGTCAGACACAATGCACTGAAAGTGGGAGAACATAAATTCAAGACAGATTTTGAGCTTTATCACCAATGATTTTATCTCATTTCGCTACATACTGCTCCCAGGTTGTAAGACAGAATCAACCAAAAACATTTTTACCAGTATCACACTTTCTGTGGTTCAACGGCAGGTCATTTCACTTTGCTTTATCACGGTTTTGATAAAATGTTTGCTCACACCTATTAATTCTGTTGATTCTGTTGCATGCTTTTAGAGCGTTCCTGTCAAGGTTGTTGTACTGAATGCTGGAAATAACATCGAATTCAGAGCGGGAACCTTTTTAGCACTCTCTGCAGTGGATATGGAGTAAAATGTGGACCTGTTTGGACTTACAAACTTTACGGCCCTGGGATGAATAACCTCGATAATGTCACAGCTAAAGTGAATAAAATTTGAAATAGGTTGCAAATACCTCGGGGAAAAATTCGTTACCCAGTCAATTTTGTTAACACGAATCATTTTTGTTAGTTCAAGTCACTTGTGGTATCAAAACGGCATATCGCTTAGTTTCAAAGGTCACATGTACGAGGCTACAGTAGGCGCTGTACTGTTGTTTAGTTGATTGTTAGGTGTCTTTCGTTTTCGGACCACCGATGCTTCAGAAGCGTTGCCAGTGTCGGATTACTTCAAGCGGTTCCTGATGAAGGATTACAAAAATCGATATTTGATTTTGCCACAGGTACTCCAGTCGTGTGACACACCCTGAACTGTGGCTGTTCGACCATGTGTGTTTACTGAGCACAGTGTTGCTCTCCGTGCCGCCTTCAAAACGGTGGAAACTGCGAAGTGAACAAGAGTACCCTGGCAAAAGACATGATAGAGATTATGCTGAGTTTGGGTGTTTTTGATGAGGCTGAATGGTGTGCTCTCGAGCTCTGGCAGTTGGCTGGAGACATTGCAAGAAATGGCGATGAATCGATACCAGTGGCGTTCTTGCTGTTAGCATCATTCTAGACTGACTGGGCCTTTGGGTGTCTAGATATCTCAGACTACTTGCGATAGGCTAGCATCCGATCCCTCCTCAATCTACTGTTTTCTGTTTTTTCTTACTTTGTTACTTTAAATGAAGTGAAATGGTTGTACGGTCCTCAGACATCAGTATCAACACTGATTTGGCAGCCTCTGAGGATGGTGATTCTGTGAGTTGGGCGAGCGAGGTGCATGGTCGAAAATTAGATGAAACGGTTGATGGCTACGGGAATCTTTCTGTAAGAACTTAAAATCATCGCGTAAAAATGCTTTAAAGGGTGCTTATTTCCACGAATTGCTTTCAATTACATAGCGGTGTTAATTCCTTCAAAATGCTTGGTCATTTGTAAGTTCCTGGATCATTGCCAATAGGAGACAACTTTCCTTTCAAATCGGTTAATCTGTTAGGTGAAGGCCTGATACATGTAACTGTTAGAGAAAGCTTCGGAATATGTCAGTCTAACGGCATTTCCACTGCCTGCAGATTAGATATAATTCATACAATTTACCTGTTGTTACTCTGTGTTTACAGGAGATCAGCGTCTATGGAAACGTTCACGTATCATTCTTGCCTTTGGCACACATTTTTGAACAAGTCGGGATGGTAAGTGATCCATTAGTATGGAAAGTTCATGGAGTCAAACGATGAGCAACCTGACCCACAAACTCCCAGGCATGTGATTTTTGAGAACCTCACTGAAGTTTAGGGGGGGCTTCCTGGGTTGACTATCGCAATTCAAGTCCCACTGTCCTCTATAATGTTGCGTGTACACACCATATGATATGTATATAGTAAAGTTGCAACTTCTGTCTAAGAGATTACAGACCTGTACTCATGATTTGTTTGAAATTATTGATTTCCCTGTGCTTGCATAAACAGCTGCAGACTTATATTCGCTTCAGAATGATGCGCCTGTGTCAAGCATACGGCTACGAGCATCTATGTTTTCTACATCTTTCGCTCCCACCGTGTGGATCATGGTTGAATTTCTTTGCGGCATTCTCCGGACCAGTAGCTTTTGCGTCTAGCAGCGGGTTGCCATAGCAAAGTAGGCAAAATTGACACCGATGTCTGTCTGTTAGAACACCGTATAGGCCCGTGAAAAACCGCCAAGTCGAGCAAAGCCTTTGTGTGTGTCAGAGCCTGAGTGGCAAATTGTCGAGCTAAGGAATAAGATAGTCTACAGAAATAGTGCAACGCCAATAGTTTATTGGGCGTGGGCAACGGCGGATCAGTAAACACATGGGCTAATCAACACTCCGTAGTGATCACAATGGGCACCGCATAGGGCCAAATCCTAAGGTTCGTTCTTGACTAGATAAGATACGCATGGATAAAACTTTTGACGGGCAGTGTTGACTGAACACTCAACATTGACAACAAAATCTCCATTTACACGAATACATTGATTATTTCTAGAGAATTTGAAATATTTTGTGATAACGACCACAATATACAATTGTCTGTTTCATATATATGAATCTTTTTCCATGTTGATCGATGCTAACAAAACACGGCATCCTCAGCCAGCTTCCTCCAGTTGAAGTAAGCATGGAATTGATTGAGATCACACCGTGTAACCGACTACCCGTTTCCCATGCACAATATCCGGTCGAATCTGCCCATCTGCCAAAGCAAACCTCAAACACGTACGGATTTACCAGCAGTAGCTGCAAGACCAGTAATACACGCCAGTCTATAATTGACATCCATTTTCCTGGATCGAAGTTGAGATGACTCTTTGTTTTCGGAAAATTTCGGTAACGCTCGGTAGATCTATTGCTGGGCAACGTTTCGCTTCGGACACAAATGCTTCGTCAGTCCAAGTAACTAGGTTCCGAGGCTGCTCAAGATTCAAAGCGCAAGGCGAACCAATCAGCTAAGTCATGCTAAGTCTGTGTCAGGTGTCGGGCAAGAGATTTTGTGCGTTAGAGTTGGTGACCAAGTGTTAAGCCTGTAGGGGAGCCTACATGGATTCGGGTTCAGTTTAGGGTCTTGTTCTTCCTGTTCGGTCTACGCGATGACTCCTCTCGAAAGTCATTTGCACTTTGCATTCGTCTGTACAGATGTCTAAGGAATAGGAATTCCGTGAAGATTTTTCGAGTTGGCTTTGCTCAGAATTTTAGGCCAATTAACTCACCATCCGGTTCATTCAATCTTAAGCTTGAGGACTCTTTATCCAAGTAGCTGGTCTTATTCTCTTATATCACTTTGAAACCTTTCATCTACACAACTGTAGTTCACACGGTGGTTCCCATAAAACCCTAACTGGCAAAACATGGAGGGGTTGTGAAATTATGTTTTGCCCCTGAGCAAGAATTTAGTCTCTTCCGACCACTGTGATTTCATCATATTTAACGGGGTTATGACTTCTCACACGTATCTGTGTGATTCGGTTCCCTTTTGGTTACGTGCCTTACTGAAACTCTCCGTTTTCCAGCGCTTGATGTGTTCTACCGTAAACCCAGTATCCGAATCTGAATTCCAGTTGCTTCACAGCACTTACCCGAGAGTTCTTTTCCTCGTTCCTTTACCTTGTCTAGGCAACAAGCTTGATGTGTGGAAGTCAGATCGCCTTCCTTACCACGGATTTTACCCGACTACTTGATGACTATGCATACTATCGTCCAACACTGCTTGCTTCGGTTCCACGTGTCCTTTCCCGATTACACGCAGCCGTGATGGAAAAGGTGACAAAGAGCAAACTGAAATCGCTTATTTTCGAGAGGGCTATCAAATCAAAACTTGAAGAACAGAAAAGGTTCGTTATCATTGGTCAACGGTTCTTCACCGCTGAAAGGTCACGCGCTGTCTGGTGACCTTCAGAAATCGTAAGAAGCAGGCGATGGTTGATGACAAAGCTACTGTGGTAAAGAGAGTCTAAGGTGACTCAAGTTGTTTCAAGTTGCTTAAGACCCCATTCTGTGGACCATATAGATCGATGCGAAACTGGATTGTGAGGACCGAAAACAACCCCATTGTAGAATCCAATCGGAAAACACTTCTGAGTTACTTAACATACGTGGAAACGTAAACACGCCCCACCTATTCTTCAGCCATCGGGTATAGAGATTCTCAGAACAACTATGGAGAGATTGTTAAAGCGTTTTATGCTGTGCAAAATCAACCTGGAAAGAAAAAAGACCATTTTATATTTAGCGGACCGAAAACTTGTGTTTACCGTCACGCACATACACACTCGTTGCCGAGGTCGAGAATCAACGTACAAGCAAAAGGAGGTCCAGTCTATGGGTCACTATAATAGGTCATCAAGAAATGTCACAATGGACTAGATGTACGTATTCCAAGGCCTCCTGTCTTGGGCACACTAAACCCAACACAAAAATTTGCCCATCTAGATTCTGACGCATACTAAAAGTAACTTCAAAGTGTATGTTTGCAATGTGCTACTCACAAGGTTGCTGAAAATCCGTCGACAGCCCACGACCGGTTTCACCCCTTTTTGGGGCTCATCAGGTAGAAGCAGTCCTCGGGTTTCCGTCAACCTTATGTTCTACTTGAAACCAAAATGCACGAAATTAGCGACTGTACACTCATTTGCAAATTAACTTGTTTTTTTTTGAGAGACTCACCTGGAACCCAGCTGAATTTCTCGTTTGTGGTTTTCTCAGGCTACTAAATGTGCCTGAATGAATGAATCACAAACGAGGGATTTAACTGGATTCCAGGTGAGTCTCTCGAAAAAAAAACAAATTAGTTTGCACATGAGTGTATATTCGCTAACTTCAAAGTGATTGATAGCGATTAATCGGTAAAAAAGCACACTGGTCTCCTCAATAAGCCGGTACTCACCGTGCAACAACCTCCTGTCTAAAGTGATTTTACTGGAACAAGGATATTTATGTGATACCGTCTACCAAACAATTGAAAAATCATTTTGGAAATCGGGAGTTGATCATGTGAATATCGGATTTCGTAATTGTCTTGCAAGTGATTTGTCACCATTTGAGTTCACGTCATTGAGGAGCGGTTGCCGGGTAGTTGACTTTTCACAAGAGAACTCTATTGGATATGTTTAAAAGCGGACGTTTTGTGTAGAACAAGATGACTGTGTTCGGCGCAATTTTTATTACCTGTACATTACCTATACTCAGTGTCTGACCTAGTAAAAGGGCTTTTTAGTCGCCAAGGCATGTTCAACTATGCGTACAACTCTGGCATATTGCATCAGGTGGTGAGCGGTGCACTTCGCGAACAGTTTCAACATCGCAGTTATGGTTACCACCAGTGAAACTATCCGCTTGCTCACACGCATTGTAATGAATGGCAGATTTGAGTGAAAACCGAAGTTCCGTGAAATGATTTTGTTGAACAGTGTCAAAACAAGTCGTTTGGCCACCCAATCTGAGTCGAGTTGCACTCAGAACCAAAATATGTTGCTAATAGCACACCTGTGTTATCTTGACCGGTTTAGTTAAAGCTGGCCGAGTTATTAGCGAATCTACACTCATTTGCAAACCAATTTGGTTTCTCGAGGGACTCACCTGGAACCCAGCTGAATCTCTCGTTTGTGATGTTCTCAGGCAACTGAATGTGCTGCACCAGGCCGCCTCATGTTTCAGTCACTACAATATTCGAGATATCGCGATACACGTATATCTTTGTAATGTACTATTCATAAGGTTGCTGAAAATCCGTCAACAGCCCACGGCCGGTTCCGCCGACGGATTTTCAGCAACCTTATGATTAGTACATTACAAAGCTCTATTTCACGCCATTTGGTTCCCAATCCCTACTGCTAATGAGCTGCAGCTTCAAGCCTGCACCATTTGTACTAGGTTAGACGAGTAGGCAAATGCGCGCATTGATAATGTGACGAAGGTTGGAGAATCAGATACAGGCTTTTTGGTGTTTTATTTCACTATTTCGGTGCTAAGTGAGCAATGTGGTTGTATCAGCTGCAGTGAAATGGATGGAGAAGTTTCGGTCACTGGACCAGTGCAACCAGACAGACAGAGAGGAGCAATACACAATTTCATTCATTCTATGTTGGCATTTGGTTCATTTTACCATCTAAGATTAAATCAAAGTAGAGTAATCCACATTTGACTGGTTTCATTCACGAAGGTATGCAGATACACCATAACTTAGTCTTAGAAGAATGGGAGCGAGTATTTTGTCATTCACAAGTCAATTTCCTCTAAGGATGTATCACTGTGTCTGCTGGTGAATTACTTTTTAGTTAAATATCGAGCTGGCTTTATACCACAAGAACTGTTTTTTTTATCTCCAGCACTCGGAATGAACACAGAAACGCCGCTTCAATAAAAGATCATGTCCAACGGGGTTTATAATCTTACACTTTTTACTGACAGATGGTTAGCAGCACCTTCCAATCCCACTCCTTTTTCACATTAAGTCTTTATTTGATTCATGACTATGCAGGGGAATCTTCAAACAATGTGGAATTCTGGATTCTCTCTGCTTTCGCCCAATTCGTAACCGACTTGGTGGTCGAGTGAGGGGCGTTGTCTGTGGTGGCGCCCCATTACAACCCGAAGTGCTTCGGTTCGTAAGATCCGTGTTTTCGTGCCCAGTAAGTCTCAACTACGCTTCAGTTTGTGAAGGAATAAATGGTTGTCAGTAGCTGAACCAGTTCTGTTGGCTTATACTCAACCCCCCCCCCCACAATATATATCCTAATGCCTCGATCTGTGGAAGTTGATGTGGCCGTTACGTTGAATTACCCTGACAGCTACAACCTCTAACTTTTCTGTTTTAAAGTAGGCTTTCTACACACAGGTACCGTGGAAACTGGCTCAGAGTGTAAAGCCAAGCAGCCGTTCTTTTGTGCTTGCTTGTCGTGCTTATCGATGTATGTTCAGTGTTAATTAATGGAACCATAACACCAACATCTGCCTCTGATGTCAAAACGTTTGACAGAACGTCAGCGAAATAACAATTTTGGCGTCCGTTAGGTTGCACAACTTTGGTTTGTATAAAATTACAAACGACTAAAAGTGGGTAAACGCAGAGAAAAACCGGATCAGGATGCTAATCTCGGAGTGAAAACGGAGCAACCTTAATAAAATCCGGCACGCACGGCGCTGATTATTACTGTTCTGTCCCTAATAACCGAATATCACATCATTTGGACGGATGTGCCACGTGCAGGACACGGGCCAGACGAAGGCATACCCTGATTGGTCAGAATGCCAACCAATCCGAGTGGAGCATCTTTGACTCGACGCCTCTCACTCCCTCAGGGAGATTCTAGCACGACATTGTGGAACACTCTGTGACTACCGTATAAATACAGTCGTACTAATTTTTCTTGATCTCCATAAAAGGGCTGTCTAGAGCTACCCTACCTTTTGATATACCATAGTGGGCGGAGCAGGAAGCCAAGGGACAGATACAGAGTTGCACGATCGTCCACAAGTTACGGCATGTTCATCATGTTCTGGTCATATTGTGACGTAGATATTTACTGTTCAGGGGATTTATGTGAAAAGGTTTACCATGGAGAAGTTTGAAAATTTTTTGTAGCACAGAAGATGATTTTTCACTGAGCCCACTCAAGTAGTAGGGAAAATATATGCCATTATTTGGAGTTGGGAGTGGGGCGGTGAAATTCTGATGCAATGCAGAACAAGTCACTTGCACAATCATCGTATACACTGGATAATTTATCACCCCCGGTAAAACACCATGTCTAGGCAGATTGTTTTGTATGTCTCAGCTCTTCAACAACACGGGGTGAGCATTGCTGTTTGTGCCGGAGGAATTCATGCAAAATATCAGAGTGCTTTTTACGCCATTCTCATGTTGGCTCAAACTATTGTAACCTGATCGGGTGTCCAATAGCTTCATCACTAGTTAAAGCTGGATAAAACAGGCATTTGACGATGGGTGCGATTGACTTCAAGACTGCATACTATATTTCACCAAATACCTTCATTTGCACGTCAATTTGGCTTGAACGAGAAACTCAGCTGATCTAATCGTCCATGATCGTCTTCATCTGAAGGTGCTATATGCAGCCGTCTTATCTTACCTTTTTTTACATTTCTTCTAAGGTTGCAGAAGCATACGGTTCCACCGAGAGTGGTGGTATGGTCACAATGACGTTACCGACGGACATGACAGGTGGTCACGCTGGCTGTGTTGTCTCTGATGTGAAAATTAAACTGATCGATGTCCCCTCGATGGGTTTCACCGTCAAACGTGATGGAATTGGAGAAGTGAGCTATTTGCCGAATATCCTAATGAAACTCGCGGACAGTGCCAGAGTATTTCTCGTCCTATTTCCTATTCAGTTTGAGCAAGTTCACTCTCCGGTTGTGATTTCTGTGTCTATAACCATTTCGGAGCAGACAGTCACGCTGACATTTCACTGGCACGTATGTCATATACCGTGTAGGTTGGTGTTTCCCTAAGGTGGCTGAACCTAAGAAAGTGTGGACCCAAACAAATCACCAAAATTCTTTCACCACACGGTAGAAAGCTCCACTTTTAACCCGGCCACAGCAGCAACTAATAGTGGTTATCCTATTGGCCTACTTGCGAACGTGCTTTTCAGATGTATTTGCTTCCGATGAAAGTCGTTAATGCGTGAAGTAATAATGTTCCTGTTAGATCGAAAAAACCCGTTGTGTCCCCCCCGCCCTGCCACGTTCTCTGTGTGCGCTCTCGGCCAGCAGCTATAATAAAGATGTGGCGTGAGTTTGGCACAAAATCTACTTCCCTCCTTGTATGAAAGTATCCGAGGTGTGTGAGTGGATTTTGACGATGAATGCCAACTGAAGATAACCACAGTTTGGGTAAACTCAACAGTGTTTTCCAGATCAATATGCCATGGAACAATTTCTAGAGGATAGGTGACGCAGTGAGATGATTTTTTCAGTCTGATTTGATTTGCTTCATGAGGCTAATTCGTCCCTGGACAGAGTCCTGTCATGCTTTTGTGATTTCCTAATGATAATTACCTGTTTTAGAGGTTTCTCTCTTGTGATGTGTTCGGTTGGAAGCATGCACGCACCAATTAAATTTCTCCCATTTTTCTAATGTTTGTTTACAAACTGAATCAATATTTTTTTCTTACTCAAGAACCAAGTGGAAACCCCTTGAAGTCCGTCATAAAATCTCCTTTATCCCTTATCGGCTGACGCTTTGGTATTCCA